AGTGGTGAGAGCAGGGAACTGTGTGTGGCACAAGCCCCCTCGTCAGGCTTTAGTGATGCATCGTGGCAGGGTAATTAAAGGCAGTGTTTGTCTGGTTGAAGAGGTAAGGAATCCTGAATCCAGGCTTGCTCCTTCCTTCAGTTCTCACAAATCCTTGCAGGCAGTCCTCCACTCTCCTGCTTGTCTGTAGATCAAGGGAGACAGGGGTTGGGAGTCCCTTCGTGTGGGTTTGGAGCCTCTCTGGGTGCTCTTCCCAGGTCTCTGCTGCTCTTGGCTGCAGATGTGGAAGCTCCTTCTGATTGCCCACAGTTGCTGTGACTGCAAGCAGGTCTTCAGAGTTTTCTTTAACCACTCTGATCTTGGTTCCTGTGTGCTCTGCAGCTACAAACTGGCTGAAAACATTGATGCTCAGCTGAAGCGCATGGCACAAGATCTGAAGGACATCACTGAGCACCTGAACACCTCAAGGGGCCCAGCAGACACGAGTGACCCGGTAAATGAATGGTTCTATTTTTATTTTTTATGATTTATATTAAATTGATTTTGATGCTCTTTAGGGCTGTACTCAGCAGCTTTTTTCAGTAAAAAAATTCCCTTCACTATTGCAGACTGAGTTTTTCCACATTAATTTTGATTTTTGCTGCCTCAAGCCTAAGGTGATTAATGTTCTGCTGGTTCCTTGGTCTAAATTAAAATGAGCCAAAGCCACAGGCATATCATCTAAACTGTGCAGTTTTCTTGCTGGTATGAAGAAGCAAAGCAGCAGTATTATTGCACACACTTTCCTGGCCAAGTGGCTGCTGCCTTAGGGAAGCTGGGCAAGGAGAAACTTGCCTTTGACTCTTGCTGTTTCTGCAGTCTCACAACTGACTTGCACCTTCTCTCTCTGCTCAGCTTCAGCAGATCTGTAAAATTCTGAATGCACACATGGATTCCCTGCAGTGGATTGACCAGAATTCAGGTGAGCTTTGTCCTGCAGCCTTTTGGGACTGTGAATGTGTAGCAGGAGCATGTGTGTGTGTTTATTCATCCCTGAATTCCTGAAGATGCCTGAGGAGTCTTCCTGCTCACCTTCAGTGGCACTGTCCCTTCTGGGCTTGAATTCTCCTGCTGTGCCTGATCCGAGGCCTTTGCTCAGAAGTTACTGCTTGTGTTTTACCAAAAACACTCTGCTTGCATGTTTTTCTCTGTCCTGCAAGCAACACTGTGCAGGGTTGTGTTCTGGGGTGACTGTGCCATTATTCCCTTGTTTCTGCCACAGCTGTGCTGCAGAGGAAGGTGGAAGAGGTGACCAAGGTTTGTGAGAGTCGCCGCAAGGAGCAGGAGCGCAGCTTTCGGATCACCTTTGACTGAAACGCTCCCAAGTTCAAAGGATGGACATAAAACCTCCACAAAATGTAGAGGTGTTTGAGGTCTGAAATGATGACCTGGCTTTTGTTTCTTTTCTTGTAATAAAATGTGTTGTTTGTTCCCAAAGGTGGTCTTTGTTGTGTTGGACAGGAGTAGCTGCCTGAAGTTTGTGGGGGTAGTGTGATCACTGTGCTTTAGCTGTGCCTGCAGCCTGGTGAGATACAGAACTGCTGCTTTGGAGGGCTCAGGGCAGTCTGTCTCCAGGGGAGCCAGCAGAGCTGGGAGGCTCCCAGTGCAGACACAGTCCTGCAGCAGCAGAGTGCAGCACACTTGCCTCTAGAAGCCTTGCATACTATAAACATCAATAAGCACACACTAAGACAATACCACAAAAAGTGCATTTATTTACCTGGCCTCTTCCCTCCCTCCTTGCCATAACAGCATATGGGCACAGCCCAGCTCTCAAGAACAGCTCAGGCCCCAGCTCTCCTTTCCCACTCTGAGACTGCTGGCCCTGCATGTTGGCTCCCAACAGTCCTGCACTGTCCCAGGTTCAACCACAGCTTTCCCACAGCTCACTGAACTCCCCAAGGCTGCTGGTTCTCCATCCCTCACGTGGCAGGAGCGTTCTCTGCAGCAGAGGAGCTGGGGCTGGCAGAGTCCGCCTCTGGCACATGCTTCCTGCTTTTCCCAAAGGCGATCACCAGGGGCTTCCCCTGCAGCTTGTACCCGGTCAGCAGCTGCAGGGCACTCTGGGCTGACTCCGTGTCTGCAATGAGAGGGCACAGTGGGCACTGGGCACCTGCTGCCATGGGCACACAGGATGATCCTATGGGTGTTCCAATCTCATGGCCACTCAGCCTGCTCTGACGTGCTGATGAACACTGCACGTCACAGACTGCATCACTTCTGCCCTGGTAAATCCCCCTCCACCCCAGGGAGAGGAGCATGGCACAACAAGAGAAGGCAGTGAATTCCCTGCTTCTCCTTGGAAAGCAAGCTTGGCAGCAGCACAGTGCCCTTCAGGAGGATGTGACACCCTTGGGAGTCAGGGAAGAACGGAGAGGCAGCAACTCACCAGGGAAGGTGATGAAGGCCTGATCCCTCATGCGGCCGCTCAGGAGGCGGAACTGGATCGGTGGGCTGTCCTCCTTCTGGAACCGAGCAAACAGGGACACCAGGTCCTTCACTGTCACTCGGGGGCCTAGGTTCTTCAAATACAGCACCTGTAACAGGCACACACAGGGTCAGCCAGCCTCTGCCATGCAAAGACACCTTTCAGCCTGTCCCAGGTCTGTACAGCTCAAGGTGTGAATTAGCTCAACGCTCACACCCACATGCTAACAATGGCATTTAGAGGACGTGTGGGTGTACAGAGAAAGGCAGCTCTGAACTCAAGGCATCACCCTGCTTGTCTGCATCAAGAGCTGACAGTTTCAGTTTATTATAGAACGGTTCAGTTTATTCAGTTCATTCCATTTATTTATAAAAAGCAGTAATCTCCAGCTACCAGACAGGAGCAGTCTGAGTAAGGTGACAGCAGGACTCAGCCAGGCCCAAACAGACAGAGCACACCTTGACAGGTGAGCTGCTGGAGCCAGGCAGGGCTGGGCTCACAAGTACAACTCTTTGCCAGGCTGGTGCCTTCCCATCAGAGCCCAAGGTCCCTTTTCCCCCCAAGTGGAGGCTGCTCTCCCCCTTGGCCTGGAGGATCAGCCCAGCAACTTCAAGGCAACAGCAAAGAGGAGCCTTTGCCTACTGACACAGCTTCAGGGCATCCTGCTGAACAAGGATAAATCCTGGTTCATCTCAGCTTACCCTGTTGGGCTCCCCTGCATGGTAGGATGAGAACCTGGGAATTTTCCGGAGTTCCTCCTCTGAGAGGCGGTTCTTGAGGATCTCCTCCTCTGGGACAAACTCCACTGGCTCTTTGATAACCACAGGCCTTGGAGGGGGCTGCTGGGGCTCTGTTGCAGAAACACTGGGACTACTTGCTGCCTGTTCTGCATGCTCCTCCTGGTGTGAAAGTGATGACTCCTCAGTCCTAGACGCCTGTGGGGTCGGGGACAAGCAGGGGTCACTTGCAGCAGACTGGACTTTTTCAGGGCACTTCTTGCTCAGCAGCTCTTGGTAAACACTCTCCAGATGAACCATGGGGTCCTTTTCATCTGTTCCCCTCTTCAGAGTGTCATCTAATTCATAACAGAGATACACGGTAACTACACCGATAACCTGGAAAACAGGCTGCAAGAACAGACACAGAAAGGAGAAAGCCTGCTTCACCCCAGCCCCTGTGCCCAGGCTCTGCAGGTTGTTTTAAACTAGAGCAGCCCCAGCAAGTGCTGGCTCCCCAGCTCAGGATGAACCTGCAGAGAACAGCAGCTCCACCTGTGCTACAGCAGAGCTCTTTTCAGAGATGCCCTCACTTGCTTATCTGCAGCCACATTTCAGCACTTTCTAGTGACTCCTTCAACACACCTTCTTTCTCCTGCAGGTGTGGCAAGGATGGGCCATGCTGCCTTCCTGTACCTACCTGGAATAGGAATATTTGGCTTTCAAGGACATCAGCTTAAGCTCCTGGATTTAAAGAAAGTCCATGACATGGACTGATGAATGATCTTTTTTAATTCTCTTTAATGGAAATGAGGACAAATGTGAGAGCAGTATCTTCCAGCCTTCAACTGGACCCGATTTCACTTCAGGGGTGAGGCTTTAACAAGTCATTCCTCCTCTTACACGCTCTGTGCCTTTGCTTCCTTCACTCCCTGCAGTTACCTCAGAGAAGGAACAATCTCCAGTCCCACTTTGTGTAACTCAGACCTCGAGGCTCTAGCAAAGCATCACCCCAGCTCCTCTCCCACACCCTGAGCTGCTCTGCACTACATGCAACACCTCAAGGAGATCCAGACATGCACTTTAAAAGCCTCTATATTAAACCCTCCAGAAAACCAACTCTGTCTGCTCCCGTAAGAGAGGAAAATATCTCCTCCCACACAGCACCAAAGCAGAACCCCATCTTCAGGGACAGAGGGCCAGACAGAAATGCGCTGGGCTCCCACACGGGCCGAGGCAGGAGAGCCCTGAGGGCAGACCTTGGTGGTAGAGGGCCCGCAGGAAGGAGTGGCGGTCCGTGCCCTGGAAAAGGGCCTGCTCGATCTCCATCTCCCGCCGGCTCAGCTGCTTGCTGCCCGCAAACCTCTGCGGCAGCGCCAGGATGCGGCGCCGCTCCTCCAGCTTCTCCTGGATGGCATCCAGCCGCTCCCGCGTGGCCTCGGGGGCTGCCCCCAGCCCCGAGCCCTGCAAAACAAGCACGGCTCAGCTCAGAAGAGCACGGGCATCTCCTCAGAGCCAGCCCAACAGCACAGCCCCGAGCCCTGCAGAACAGGCTCGGCTCAGCAGCTGTGGTACCTCCTGAGAGCCCCGTCGCTGGAAGGAGTGAATGAATCTGACTCCATGCTCTTAGGCTAATTCACTATTTTATGATCTATATTATATGAAAGAATACCATACTAAAACTATACTAAACTATACTAAAAAATAGAGAAAGGATACTTACAGAAGGCTAAAAGATACTAATGAAAACTCATTACTCCTTCCAGAGCTCCAACACAGCCTGGCTGTGATTGGCCATTAAGTAAAAACAATTCACCTGTTGGATAAACAATCTCCAACCACATTCCAAAGCAGCAAACACAGGAGAAGCAAATGAGTTAATATTGTTTTCCTTTTTTTCTGAGGCTTGTCAGCTTCCCAGGAGAAGAATCCTGGGCAAAGAGATTTTTCAGAAAATAACATAGTGACAAGCAACAGCATGGGCCTCCTCCTCAGAGCCAGCCAAAGGCACAGCCCCAGCCCTGCAGTGGGTGTGTGGTGGCAGCTCCATGGTCAGACAGAGAAGCTAGATAGATTTTCCCAGTGAAAGTGGATTTGTCTTTACAAACAAGCTGTGGGTCTGCTGGTACATGAAACTGGCACTGGGAGATAAAAGAAACAATGGGAAGGGTTCCACTGATTGGTTTTCCCAGTGAGAGGAATAGCAGATTTGTCTTTACAAACAAGCTGTGGGTCTGCTGGTACATGAAACTGGCACTGGGAGATAAAAGAAACAATGGGAAGGGTTCCACTGATTGATGAATGGAAAAATATATTTGCTTTTACAAACAAATTTTAGGTTTGCTGATAAATGAAATTAGACATTGAAAGATGAAAGAAGCAATGGGGAAGAAAAACCCCTAAATTCCATATCAATTAAAAATTAAAAGGGAGTGTTATTCATTAGAGGGAAATCGTCGGTATCTCAGCCAGTGGGGAAAGAAAGAAGGGAAATGCGGCCGGGAAATTAGGATAAAAAGGAGAGAGAAGGGAAAAGTGGCCAGGAAATTAGGATAAAAAGGAGGCTGCATCCTTCAAAAATTTGAGATATCCCCGGGGAATGCCCCATGGCCTCTCCCTTTATTTGAATAAAGTTAAAAAGTACTCCTCTGTCTTCTTTTTGGACATAAACCTCTGGTGTTTGTGGATTAATTTTCCTAACACCAGAATCAGTCTGGGAAACTTTAGGGAGCTGGAGAGAAAGAATTCTGAACAGTGTCCATCTGGTGTTTTCTAATAAGCTGCTCTGCACATAAGGTTGTTTACAAATGGGTGTCTTGTTAATTAGCCAATCGTGGGAAATGTATTGATTAAATGACCAATCAGGTCCACCTCTATCAGACCAGTGTATAAAAGAAGCAGTTTCAAAACTTGGGGCTTCTATCCTATTAGCCTTTTGCCCTAAAGTCTGTGTCACTTCTTACCCCATCCTGACCCTTACAGTGACATGGGTGCACTGAGAAACATCCCCCAGGGCACCAAGAGATCCTGTTACTGCAAGGGTAGGACAAATACACCCACACAAGCTCAGTTCTTGAGGGGAGTGGAGAAACACTCCTTTCTCATGACCTGTCTGTGCTGCTTCCCTCTCCCTGGCCTGTGTCCCTCTGTCCTGCTGCCTCTGCCAGCTACAGCTGTCACCACAGCCACCTTCAGTGATGCACAACCATGCTCTGGCAGGTCTCCCCCACACCTACAGCATCCCCGAGCTCAAGTTTCCACCAAGCTCTTAGTGTGTGACCTGAGAACCTGATTTGCTCAAAATTGGACCCCCAGTTGCTGCTTGGCACCCGAGGGGAGGTTTATGCTGAGGACTAAACCCCAACCAGCATCGCTGAGCCAGCTTCAGAAACCAGAGAGGAACTGCAGCACTGAGCCAGCTTCCAGAAACCAGAGAGGAACTGCATCACTGAGCCAGCTTCAGAAACCACAGAGGAACTGCATCACTGAGCCAGCTTCAGAAACCAGAGAGGAACTGCAGCACTGAGCCAGCTTCCAGAAACCAGAGAGGAACTGCATCACTGAGCCAGCTTCAGAAACCACAGAGGAACTGCAGCACTGAGCCAGCTTCAGAAACCAGAGAGGAACTGCAGCACTGAGCCAGCTTCAGAAACCAGAGAGGAACTGCAGCACAGCCCTCACAGCTCAGCTGTGAGCAAGGAGCATCCCTGGGCAGGCAAACCTCACTGCACGGGCCACTTCATGCTGCCAAAGCACAGAGACACACCCAGCTGCTGGAAGGGCACTCCTGCTCCCCATCCACTCGATCAGAACACGCTTTGATGGGGCTGTGGGTGGATTTTCTGCTCTCAAACTCAGTTTGAGCATTACTGTGGCAGATCCTTCTGCCTCGGGCATGGAACCAGGCTTTCTCCCTGCACTGAGCACAACCTAACAGAGTTTCCCATGGTACCTCTGCCCCACATCTGCACAGCTTCTTCCATTCACTATTTCACAGCTTCCCCGAGGCACAAAAGGCTGTTTATACGGAAAAGCAATTCCCGGAAATCATTTGTTGTACTTTGTTTTCAAAAAAGCTGCCACTTAGCTGCTGAAAATAACAGAAATCTGCACTCAGTACTTTGCCAAGAGCTCCCCAGGCGATCTGAAGTTCTGTCTCAGCTGACATTATTCATCACTCATGGTGGAATCTTTCACTCAGGGCCTCCACCTCCAAAGCTGCACATCACTACCTGACTTAGGCTTTCTCCCTAAATATTCTCCTCTCAGAACCTGTAGAAGACATACCCTGATGTCACGCTTTGTTTTCTGTCAGAGGAGTGTTTTCCATATAAATAATTTTTTTCTGAACATCCCAGAATACATTTCATACTAAATATAACAGCTGGTACTGACAGCATTGATTTTCATTCTTAAATTAACACCACTCCTCTCTGCACCAAGATTTAATCAGGCCACACCAGGGCTGGATTTGCATTTAAACACCAAAGCAAGTAATGACTTCAGCTGAAAAGAGGCAAACTCTGATTAGCAGACAACTCTCTCCTGCACACAGCTATCGCTCAGGAAGAGGAGACAAAGGGAAGCCAAGGATCAGCCCAAGTCCTGTTCTGCATTTTCTAGTTTGGCAAATTAAGAGCAGGACGCTCCAGTGCACCTGACATAGGACAACCACAAAAGCCTCTTGTCTCTGGAATGTGAAAAAAAAGGGTGAAGATGGGGGAAGGGGAAAAACCTGCTGGAAGAGCACCCAAGGAGGAGCCAAGGCACTGCCACCACACGCTGGGTCTGACAGCTCTGCACTATTTTCATGTGGCTGTCCCAGGGCCCCTGAGGGACCTGCAAGGCCCTAAGGAGAACACTCCCTACAAACAGCCATCCCAAATCAGCAATGGGATCCAGGGATCTATCAGGATACTCAGAGGAGGGTGTTGAGGTACTTTGAAATATTTTCTCTTCTGGCATTTAAATCCTTCATACACAGGTATAAACAGGTGAAATTATGTGTTTGAGATCGAGGCAGAGGCAGGAATATCCTCACGTCCTGCTGTGCTCCAAAGGACCCACTCCTGTCTCCACCCTATCTTTCAACACTGACCATTCCACCAAAGAGAAGAGGCCAGAAGAAATGTAGGGTAGTGCTGGGCTAAAGGCAAGGGATACAAGGAGTGGCCACTCTTTACCAGTGGCTTACAAAGGACTGGAATTTCCTACCAGAGACCACCCTCGGGTGAGAGCAGAGCGTGCCCACCTTCCGTGCTGAATCCCGGTTCTTCCAGAGCAGGATCTCCGAGTCGGAGAGCCCCAGCTCCCGCAGAGAGGAGGTTTCTTTGTCGCTCTCCTGCAGGGCCTGGAACTGTGAGAGGCTCAAAGCCCCCGCAGCCTCCTCCCCGAAAGGTTTGTAAAAAGCTGCAGGGGCAAAGCATCTCCGCTTGGACTTGCACCTGTGAGCCGAAGGAACACAACAGCACAAACAGCTCAGCGCTGAGGAATGGGGGACAGCAAGGGGCTGCTCGCTCTCAATCCACACCAGATCAGCACTTACTGCTCAATGGAGACGCTGGTGTCAAGCTGCTGGTGAAGGAGGCTCTTCAGCTGCCTCTCTCCTTCTGTCTCCAGGTCTTCCAGGAGAAGCTCATCGCTGGACAGGCTGCTGTTCACCCTGGGGCACACAAGCACAGCCACGGGCAGTCAGGCAACGGGGGAAACACTGGGAAACACATCCCTGCTACAGCTCCTCCGCCTCCCGGGCTGTTTTTATGGGATTTAAAAAAACAAGGAACCAAAACTACTTGACCACAGCTCCCTTTAACATTACTAGAAAAGCCAACAGATTTGGGATCACTTTGAGAACATTAAAGTACCCCAAGGGGTCTTCGGGTGTTTTTGTATTGGTGGGGTGGTTGTTTGTTCACTTTAAAATCGCATGCCATTATTTTTATTGACCGAAATAATCTTTCATCAGCATCTAGGCAGACACTGCCAGTTTCAGATGTGTGAGGGCAGAACGAAACGAAACCGCGACGCCGAAGAGAAAATGAATTTCAGCAGCGCTTTTCCCTTTCCGGGGTCACCTGGAGCAGGCAGACCCCAAACCCGGCCCAGCCCCAGCCCCGCATGGCCCCGCCGCTCCGCGCTGCAGCCCCGGCAGCGCCCGCGGGCACCGGGAGCCGCCCCGGAAGGAGCGCGGAGAGGGCCGGAGCTGCTGCCGGAGCGGGGCCGGAGCTGCTGCCGGAGCGGGGAGCGGAGCGGGGCCGGAGCTGCTGCCGGAGCGGGGAGCGGAGCGGGGCCGGAGCGGGGAGCGGAGCGGGGCCGTGTCGTGGGGTGAGCCGGAATGGGTTCCAGGCACCCCCAAGGACACCCGTCCCCCTCTGGAGCTGAACGGAGAACACTTAATGCGGGGCTCATGGGTTGGGATACGGACCGGAAGAGATCTCCCGTCAGATGTCGTCAGAGGCACAACAGGCTCAGCGTAGAGATATGAACTGAGTTTATTGCTAATTAAAACAGAGCGGGATAAGGGGAAGTAAAATTAACCCTTAGAAAGGCCTTCCCCCCACCCGTCCGTCCTGTCCCAGCAGCGCAGGGAGACGGGAATGGGGGTCATGGTCAGCTCATAGGGATTCGGGAATGGGGGTCATGGTCAGCTCAGAGGGATTCGGGAATGGGGGTCATGGTCAGCTCCTAATCTCAATTGTTCAAATTTTATTACTCTAATTATATTATTATTTTTATAACCATTTTATTACTATTAAACTTTTAAAAATTTAAAAAACAAGTGATTGGCATTTTTCACAGGGTCATGGTCAGTTCAGAGGGAGATGAGAATAGGGGTTATAGTCAGTTCATCACTTCTGGTTTGGGGTCCCTCCCAATGGGAGACTGTGAAGTTCTCTGATGTGAGTCTATCCCACAAGCAACAGCCCTGCTCAAACTGTTGCAGGGTGGGTTACCCTGCCACAGAGTCCTTCCAGGACAGGCTGCTCCAGGCTGGGCGCCGGGCAGCTCAGCCACGGGCTCACAGCCTCCTCCCAGGCATGCCCCTGCTCTGCCCTGGGGCACGCCGTGGGCTGCAGGGGCACAGCTGCTTCACCACGCTCCTCACCACAGGCTGCAGAGCAATCTCAGCCCTGGGGCCTGGAGCACCTCTTCCCTTCCCTCCTTATCCATTGACCTTGGTGCCTGCAGAGTTGTTCCCCTCTTCCGCTCTTTTCTGGCCACAATTACAACTGAGCCACAAATTTGTTTTTCTTTCTTTTAAAATCTCTTGCACAGAGGCATTACCACCCTATCTAACTGGCCCAGCCCTGGCCAGCAACTCATCCACGTTTTGGAGCCACCAGGGACATGGTGGAAGCTTCTGTCAGCCTCTCACAGGAGCTACCCCTGCAGCCTCCTCCCAAAACCACACAGAGCCCTCCAAGGCAGCACTGCTGTTACCTCACCAGCCTGCAGGCACAGCTGAATCACAAAGAGCACACACTTCATCCAGTTTCTGATGGGAGCAGGTGAAATCCAGTCCAACACCACCAAGACTGGCTTTGAACAAACAACATATTTTATTGTAAAAAAGGAAAAAAAGCCAGGTCGTCATTTCAGTCCTCAGCTCCCAAACACCTCTGTTTTCTGTGGAGGTTTTATGCCCATCCTTTGAACTTGGGAGGGTTTCAGTCAAAGGTGATCCGAAAGCTGCGCTCCTGCTCCTTGCGGCGACTCTCACAAACCTTGGTCACCTCTTCCACCTTCCTCTGCAGCACAGCTGTGGCAGAAACAAGGGAATAATGGCACAGTCACCCCAGAACACAACCCTGCACAGTGTTGCCTGCACAATGAAAAATATTTTCTTGTTGACAGTCACTCAGGTTTGACAGTGGACAAAGCAGGAGAAAAGCAGAACCCAAAGCACTGCCGACAAGAAAACTTCATTATTGAATGGCAGAGGAAAAAATGGGTCTCCTTTCTAGGAAAACTTAAAGGAAACAGCTATTTTCACACATATTCTGTAAAGAATTCAGATGGCACAGGAGCTGTACCAGATTTCCTAAAAAAGGCACGTTTGGAATGTGGAGCTTAGCAGCAGTGTTCTGAAAGAAAACACCTAATCAGACCCCGACCTAAGCCAGTAATTCTGTGTGAACACGGAGAACAACAGGCCTCCTCTCACACAAGCAGTTCCACCAGGTGTGAGCATTTCTCAGCACGGTAGCCAGGCAGTGCACTCGGGCTGCTGAGAGCAGAGCTGCTTTATTCTGCCGTGCCCCCGTGTGGCTGCACCTGTTAAAATCCAAACGCACAGAATGCCAGAATCCCTCGCCAGGAGGCACTCTCCCAGGGAGAAAAGTTCCTTTGCTCTGCCTTTAGGAAGACTCCACTGTCAAATGTTCACTCCTGAGTGCATCTCTCTGTGCACTGGATCTCAGGCTGTTGAGGCTGTGATATTCTCACATTATTCCTCCAGTTATCCCACATGCAGATCAAGGCAGGCTGCTCTATCTTACCTGGATGTGGCTTCCTGTTTTCAGACTGGGAGGATGATAACACTCAACACACACACTCCCCCCTCACCAACTTTCCTGCGCCACAGGCAAACCCCACACTCTTTTAGAAGTTGAACTATTTAACATTAGTTTGACAGAATGAATAAGGTATTCAAGTTCTCTGTTTTGCAATGAGGCATTTCAAGGAGGGATTTTTGGGTAAAAGATACCAGTTGCCAGGACTAACTTCTCAGCAGAGGCCTCTGATCAGGCACAGCAGGAGAATTCAAGCCCAGAAGGGACAGTGCCACTGAAGGTGAGCAGGAAGACTCCTCAGGCATCTTCAGGAATTCAGGGATGAATAAACACACACACACACGCTCCTGCTTCCCATTCACAGTCCCAAAAGGCTGCAGGACAAAGCTCACCTGAATTCTGGTCAATCCACTGCAGGGAATCCATGTGTGCATTCAGAATTTTACAGATCTGCTGAAGCTGAGCAGAGAGAGAAGGTGCAAGTCAGTTGTGAGACTGCAGAAACAGCAAGAGTCAAAGGCAAGTTTCTCCTTGCCCAGCTTCCTTAAGAAAGAGCCACATAGTCGGGAAAGTGTGTGCAATAATGCTGTTACTTTGCTTCTCCAAACCAGCAAGAAAACTGCACAGTTTAGATGATATGCCTGTGGCTTTGGCTCATTTTAATTTAGACCAAGGAACCAGCAGAACATTCATCACCTAAGGCTTAAGTGGCAAAATTGAAAATGAATGTGGAAAAACTCAGTCTACAGTACTGAAGGGAAATTTTTACTGAAGAAAAGGCTTCTCAGTAAAGGCATAAGGAGCATCAAAATCAATTTAATAGATACCAGAAGGAGCTGGTTATTCAGATCTTGTTTTATGAGGATATAAAAACAGAATAAAGAAAAAGTATGAGCAGAGTATCCACATGGGGACAAATGAAGAGTTACAGCTATTTCAATATTCTTTGCCTCTTCAGCAATATAAAATAAAAGCTTGCACTTACTGGATCACTTGTGTCTGCTGGGCCTCCTGATGTGTTCAAGTGATCAATGATGTCCTTCAGATCTTGTGCCATGCGCTTCAGCTGAGCATCAATGTTTTCAGCCAGTTTGTAGCTGCAGAGCACACAGGAACCAAGATCAGAGTGGTTAAAGAAAACTCTGAAGACCTGCTTGCAGTCACAGCAACTGTGGGCAATCAGAAGGAGCTTCCACATCTGCAGCCAAGAGCAGCAGAGACCTGGGAAGAGCACCCAGAGAGGCTCCAAACCCACACGAAGGGACTCCCAACCCCTGTCTCCCTTGATCTACAGACAAGCAGGAGAGTGGAGGACTGCCTGCAAGGATTTGTGAGAACTGAAGGAAGGAGCAAGCCTGGATTCAGGATTCCTTACCTCTTCAACCAGACAAACACTGCCTTTAATTACCCTGCCACGATGCATCACTAAAGCCTGACGAGGGGGCTTGTGCCACACACAGTTCCCTGCTCTCACCACTACTGGCACTGAAAAACCATTAACTTTCCAAGATTATCTCAAAATTAGTAACCTCTTCCCAGACAGCTGATTACCCCAATATCCAAAGAGCTTTTCATGCTGATTCAAGGGTTTCCATTCACTGTTCTAAAGAGTAAAATCTAAGTTGCCAAGCACAAAACAGGATTAAATATCTGACAGCAGCCCTGATAGTTCAGTCCTGTCTCCCACCCCAGCCCATGTCCTGCTGACTGCTGAGCACAGGCCCGTGCCCATGCCCATGCCCATGCCCAGCAGGTTTGTGCCTCACGTCCTCTCCCGTTCCTCATCCGCGTGCTGCAGGTAGATGGTCCCGCTCTGCTCCTTCACTGACTCCTCCAGAGGGGTCAGCAAGTCCTCCAGCTCCTTCTGCTGGGACAGAATGAAGTCCAGCTCCTGATCCAGTCTGCAGAGACAAAGTGCCAACGGCTTCCCTTTCATGTTGCAGACACGGCAGAGCTGTCCCACAAGCAGGCAGGACAATGCAGAGAAGAAAGAAAATCATTTCAAGGGCTCATGGTCTCCTACCTCTTCTGGTCAACCTTCACCTTCTCTACTTCTCTGTGTAGGGAAGTAATCTGGAAACAGAAGACATTGCATTACACCTTGAAAACCAAGAAGTCAGCTGTCCAAAGAAGAGAGGTGGGAGGGAGAAGGCAGCACAGGGCAAGTTCTGCTGGAAACAAGAGATGGCCACAAAGATTTACAGACCCCAGATGGAATAAGGGAGGAATGATCCTCCCTTATTCCTTACTGCTATTCCATCCCAATGATGGAATAAGCATGGAATGATCTCCCCTAGGAGAACTTGGCATCACAGAGCCAAGGCACAGAACAGACTGCCAGCCCCAAGGCCTAAAGGCCAGAACAGACACACAGAGACTGTGAAAGCACCCAGGGGAGCTCACAGCCATTTCTCTCACAAGCACCAAGTCCCGTGTTACAGGTGCCTGCTGCAGCTGCAGCAGAGCCCTTGAAGGAGCCAAGCAAGCAGAGGGAGGTTCCAGTGGGCCCCTCACCTTCTCTCCGTTCTCGATCAGCATGCGGTCCCAGGCATTGACCTGGGTGGCCTGGTGCAGGAAGTGCTTCTCTTGGTCCTCCAGCTCCAGGCTCCACTTGTTGATCAGACTCTCCAGCTGGGCATAAGTCATCACTGGGGGGGCACTGAGAGGAGTGAGGGGCAGCACAGGACACCAGGTCAGGACAGACAAACAGCACAACACTCACTGATTTCCCCTTCCACCCCCAGAGCCAGCCTGAGCACTGCAGCTGCTCCTGGCCAGGCAGGAAAGGGTCAAGGGGAACAAAACCCACCTGGGTGTGGTGGTTGTGGTTGTGGCAGCTGTGGAGGTCACAGCCCCAATGGCACCAGTGGTAGTCAGGGGCTTCAGATTCAAAGGAAAGCCAGAAGCAGCAGTAGTCCCTGCAGGAAGAGCTTCCAGTCAAGCAGCACAAGGGGACACAGCTGGGAGCTCTCAAACAGAGCAGCCCCAGGGGACACTGCCCATGGCTGCAGGAGCTGCACTGGATCCCTCTGAAGGGAACAGCAGCAGAGCCTACATCAGTCAAGGAGGGATACAAACATCCCCAGCCCACACCCCTGTGAACAGCCCCATGTTTTACTGCTGGAACCAACAACTGCCAGCACACCCAGCTCCTCCCTGCACCTCTGCAGGGGATCAGAGAACTCCTGTGTTTCCACAAGGAGATGGAAAAGGGTCAGAGAAAGACAGACTGTGCAGGTTTCAGTTACTTTGAGGGCATTACAAGTCACAGCTGCTGTGCTGCTGCTCTAACATGGCCCTTTCCACCTTGACAGAGCACTGAGTTCAGTCTCCCTTCTCTTCAGTGACCTTCAGCATCCTGTCCCTACCTGTGGCAGTGCTTGTTGTGGCAGCTGTGGTTCCAGGAACCTTTAATCCAAAGCCAAGTGTCCCCAGAGTGGCTGTCCCCGTGGAACCAGTGGAGGTGGCCCCCACTGTGAAGAGAAGGCAGCATGAACAGGTTGCAGGGGCCATGGAATGCAGGGCCCTTGGGAAAGCTGTGCCCAGCCTGCTCCCCTCCCCTGCAGCAGCAGCCTGGCTGCCCCTTCCCTGCCCAGGGACAAACCTGCCTGCAGAGACTCACGTGAGAGGCCCGTGGTGCTGGAGGAGGCTGGGGCTGAAGAAGTTGCCACAGATGCAAACAAGGAGGGCCCCGTGGAGCCCAGCACTGAGGTGCTGCTGGTGGTGGAGGCCGTGGTGGCAGCTGTGGATGTGACTGCAGGGACAAACAGCTCCAGGTGGACAAGCAGAGCACACTGAGCTCCCACCCCCTGCACAACAGCCCTGCTGGCAGGGTGACACCAGCAGCCCAGCCACACCTGGATCACTGAGCCCCTTGAATATTGTGCCTCCCTTCCCCTGTGCTCCCCAAACAAGCAGAGAACAGAATCTCCATGTGGGACACAGTCAGAGCCACAGCACACACTGTGCAATGGCTCTAGGAGCTGTCACACATCCCCACTGCCAGGGCAAAGCCACAGCAACAAACACTTGTGGCCCCTTCCCACACCCCAGTAGAAGGTATTTGTCTACTTCCATCAGACAGCTATTGCCAGGAGGACAGCAGGTTCCCCAAAACCTTGAGGAATTGTGTTCTAGAAGAGCTTCCTACCTCCCAGCTTGGCTCCAAAGGACAGGGTGGGTGCCTGGCTGGTGCTTGTGGTCAGTGTTGCTGTGCTTGTACTGGTGGCTGCTGTTGAAGGCTGTGTCCCAAAGGTCAGACCTGGAACCAGGAGCAAAAGGAAAAGATGGATTTCCTTCCTACAGGCTAAAGAGCAATTGGTGCCCAGCACTGCAGCCCCTGGCCAGGCCTGACAGAAACACCTCAGGCTCCAGCCCCTCGCTCCACTCTGCCCCAGCACAAGCCAGGGGCTGCAGAGCCTCACCCCCACTGCACCCTCAGATGTGCCCATGCCAAAGGCCCAGGCTCCAGCTTCCCCCTGAGGCTGTGTCACAGCACATGGCACAGCTGAGACAGCCACAATACACAGAGCACCACCAGACAATGTCTGAAGGGTTCAACCCACACACAGTAACACCAAACCACTAGAGAAGGCTGCGCCCACCCCAGCCCCCACAGCGTGTGCCCGTGTCCCAGAGTGACACCCCAGAGCCCCGGGCTGCTCCCCACCTGTGGGCTGCCCCCCGAGGCTGAAGGGCGCTGCTGCCGGGCTGGCAGCTGCCGGGGTGGCCGTGCTGGTGGTGGCAGCAGCCGCGGGGGCCGTGCCAAAGCCCAGCCCTGCGGCCGTGGCCGGCGCGGCCGCGCTGCCGAGGCTGAAGCCGCCCGTGCCCGCCGGAGCCGCGCTGCCGCTGGAGAAGGTGAAGCCTCCTGTCGTCCCAGAGGGAGCCGTGCTGCTGCTGCCGCTGCCAGCAGAGCCAAAGGCAAAGCCAGACGGGGCTGCTGCCTGGCTCGAGGGCGTGCTGCTGGCCACGGGGGTGCCGAAAGAAAAGCCCCCCGTGATTCCAGGAGCTGGAGTGGCAGTGCTGGCCCCAAAGGTCACTTTGGGTGTGTTCGCCCTAGGGAGGAAAAGAAAAGGAAAGGAAAAAAGCCATTCTGCTTGAGACACACATCCACCCCATACACAGCTGGCTTTCTCCCTGGCCATTGCTGCAAAAAAGCCATTCTGCATGAGACACACATCCACCCCATACACAGCTGGCTTTCTCCCTGCCCATTGCTGACAGCAGAACCCTCCTTCCAGAGAGATGCACTCTGGCCAGGCTCGTGTCCCAGTTCTGACAGCAGCCTCCATCCAGCTGCTGTCTCCTGCCCCCCCCAGGGCTCTTCCTACTGCCCGTCCCTTCATCAGCTGCACCCAGCCGGTACCTCAGGGCATTTCAGGGCAGCACACGTGCAGCTGCTCCTGCTCTCAGCTCACCCTTTCCACTCACACAAGGCTGTTTTTTCCTGCTCGTCCCCATCGGAGCTCCCTTCCCACAGCTCCCATCTGCCAAGCTTTGTCAGCAGCAGCTCTGCAGAGCCGCTCCAGCGCTCGCAGCCTTTGCTGAACGGCAAATCCCTCCCAAACCGCCGGGAAAACATTCGGAGCACTCCAGACCGGGGTGAGAACGAAGGAGACGCTCGATACCCGGCAGCAGAACCGCGGCATTTCTGTGTGCTCGCGTCCCCAGCCCCGCTCCAGCCGGACAGGCGGAACATCTCCTCGGCACAGCGTGAGCGCTGCCCGTGCCAGCAGCGGCCGGGGCAGTGCCGGGGCTCGCTGCGAGAGCTTTCCCCGCAGAGCCCGGCCCGGCGCCCTCAGCACCCCGCTCCCTCTGTCCCTCTGTCCGTCCATCCCTCTGTCTGTCCGTCCCCGTCCGGCCCGGCTCTCACCCCAGCGGGAAGGCGGCGGCTGCCGTGGCGGCGGGGCCCGCGCCGGCCGAGCCGAAGCTGAAGCCCGAGGGCTGCGCGGCCGTGCCCGGCCTGTTGAAGGAGAAGAGCCCGGCGGGCTGGCTGCCGCCCGCCGCGGGCGCCGCGCCGCCGAAGCTGAAGCCGGCGGAGGCGGGCGCGGAGAAGGAGAAGCCGGCGGGGGCCGTGGTGGCGGCGGGGGCGCAGCGGGACAGTGGACAGCGGGACAGACGGACAGCGGGACAGCGGGACAGGGGTCAGGGGACAGCGGGACAGGGGACAGCGGGACAGGGGACAGCGGGACAGTGGACACCGGGACAGGGGACAGCGGGACAGTGGGACAGACGTGCAGGGGACAGCGGGACAGGGGACAGCGGGACAGCGGGACAGTGGACAGCGGGACAGACGGACAGCGGGACAGCGGGACAGGGGTCAGGGGACAGCGGGACAGGGGACAGCGGGACAGTGGACACCGGGACAGGGGACAGCGGGACAGCGGGACACCGGGACAGGGGACAGCGGGACAGGGGACAGCGGGCTGGGACAGGGGACACCGGGGCGGAGGCCCGGCGTCCCGTCCGGCCCGGCTCTCACCCCAGCGGGAAGGCGGCGGCTGCCGTGGCGGCGGGGCCCGCGCCGGCCGAGCCGAAGCTGAAGCCCGAGGGCTGCGCGGCCGTGCCCGGCCTGTTGAAGGAGAAGAGCCCGGCGGGCTGGCTGCCGCCCGCCGCGGGCGCCGCGCCGCCGAAGCTGAAGCCGGCGGAGGCGGAGGCGGGCGCGGAGAAGGAGAAGCCGGCGGGGGCCGTCACCGGGGCGGAGGCGCGGCGTTGGAGCCGCCCGCCAGCGGGGACGCGGTGACGAGCATTTGTCACTGCGGGTTTGTCGCCAGAGGGTGGTCGGGCACAGAGCGGGGTCCCAGGGTGGCAGCCCCGGGCTGTAAGGAGCATTGCACAGCGCTCCCGGCACAGGCTGGCTCGGGCTGTCCTGCCCGGAGCTGGCTCCCAGCAGCGCATCCCCTGTGCTCCATTTGACATGCTGTGTCCTCACGCACACAGGAGCTGGGCTAAGCTCTTCCCTCCCAGACACGCAGCAGGGGAGCCGTGCTTTGCAGGCTGTTCGGCACGGCTGGTTCCTGCTTCATCTGCCTGCTGTTCTTCCTGCACAGGTGAGCAGGGGAATGGATCTGGACAGCGCGTTCTCGGGCTCTTCTCTGCACAGCCTCGCCAAGCTGCTGCGTGACGCTCCAGGAGAGGAGGAGGAGGATGGTGATGATGATGTGGTGAGCCTTTCACGGGAGCTGCTGCTTCCTTCACACATTGTACCATAGCCTCATGTTGTTCATCAAGGAGAAGCAAATCTCTTTTTCTCCACAGTGAGTAAAAGCAGAATGAAAACCTCAGAAGGCTTTGGTCTGGCTGAAACAGCTCGAGGATCATTTCAGAGTAACAAGTGTCACCCTGATTTTTCTAAGTTTTTCTAAGCCTTCTGATGTTTACATTCTTGTAGCAAACTTTCTCACACATCTTATGTAAATAACTTATTGTTTGTCAATCTTTTATGGAGGAGGAGAAATTTGATGTGCTGTTGGTTTGTCCAGTGTCATTGGAGAGGTGGCACTGTCACCCTCCAATCCACTGTCACTTTTGGGAATCCATAAATGTTAGAGTCAAAAATTAAAAGTGCCTTTTTCACCTTGAGAGAGCTGTGTGTCCACATCGTGTTATTTCATGTCCTACAGTGACAGACAAGCTCTTGAGAGTGACCAAGGTACCCCAGGAAAGCAGGGAGACATTGTGAGCACAACATATGAGGAAGATTTCCTTTTTCAGCCTGAAGGAAAAGAGAACATAGACTTGAAAGAGCTTTAGATACTTCAGATTTCCCCCTGCTTTTCCCTGAACTCTGCTGGAGATGAAGGCAGTTACAGCCAGATATGAGAGGAAAAATTTGCTGCTCAGCTTCTGAGCAAAGACCAAAACATCCAGAGGCAACTGAGTGTATTAATTGCTTGTGTCAGGCACTGAAGAACTGTAGAGATAATTGATCACTGAAGTGCAATAGGTACTTTGGTGGCTGTAAAATAGGGAAAGGTGAACGATCATTCTAAGGTGCACAATCTGGATGAATAATGAGAGAAATATCTGAATGTATTCTGCTGTATCAGTTCCTCTCAGGAGCATGAAAACCACAGCGTTTGGAGAACGTGCATTATTCCTGCAACATGCAACACCTGCTTTCATCCAGGCCCACCTGTGTGCTGGGAAGAAACATTCCCAGGAGCCCCAAAGGTGCCAGCAATGTAGAAGGCCTCTGTGAAGGCTCAAAACTCTGCCAAGTCGCTCAGGATTTTGAACAGATCATATCATGGCATGGATAACAACAACAACAACAACAACAACAACAAAAACAGCAACAACAAAAACCAACCAAAAAAACCAAAATGAAAACAAAACAAAACAAACAAAAAACCCCCCAACCAACAAAACCAAAAAAAAAAAAACAAAAAAACAACCAACTGACCAACCAAACAAACAAACAAAAAAACCCCCAACTAACAACAACAAAAAAAACAAAAAAACAACCAACTGACCAACCAAACAAACAAACAAAAAAACCCCCAACTAACAACAACAAAAAAAACAAAAAAACAACCAACTGACCAACCAAACAAACAAACAAAAAAACCCCCAACTAACAACAACAAAAAAAACAAAAAAACAACCAACTGACCAACCAAACAAACCAACAAAAAAAAACCCCAAACAAATAAACAAAAAACATATTTAAAACCAGAACAAAACAAAACCCCAAAAAACCCCAAAAACCATATAACAAAAATGGCAAATGCCTGAGTGCTCCTCCAAACCATTCCTCAGCAAAGAGCTGACCAGCCCCCGTGGTGGCAATGCAGGTAATATTTGGGATAAGGGGGTACATATCCCTTGAAATTTTCTTTCAGTGGGTTATAGATGTGGTCCTTCACACCCCTACTATCCTCCAGCTGTTTAATGCCTGCCTTTTAAACCCAGCATTATTGCTGTACATCTCTGCAGTAAACATCCTGATTTTTAAAAGAATTTGTTTACATCTTATTAATAAAATGAATGACACTTCAGAGACAGAAATGGAAAGTTGCCACAAGAGATGTCAATTAAGTCTGAGTCAATCTGGGTAAATTGAAATCTTTATTTTGATTTAATTTAATGCTCTGTGCATATGAGGCACTTTTATTGAACCAAAGAATCTTCATATCTAGAGAAATGCCTCACATTGGCCTATTAGCACTAAATTGATTCATAATTAGAGGAAAATGTTGTTGCCTCATGATCTCTACAGTAAAAAGGAATCCAAGTGCTGTGATGGGGCTTTCATGTAGCACCCTTGGTTTCCTGTAATATTTTCATGGCAGGCAAAGCATGGAAATTTTGCCAAAATGCCATGGAAACCAAAACTCACAGAGCACATCTGTCTGTGTGGCTGGGCTTCTGTGAGTCCTGCCTAAACCCAGTGTGTCAAGGTCACTTTCTGCTGTGTGAGAGTGAAGAAAAGAGAATTTTCAGTGGTTCCCTCATGAAAGTGTGGGATAATGTTTTCCAGTTCTATCAGGGATTGTTTGACCTTAGATGATGTGTTGCATTTTCTGGCATCATGGTTGTAACCGAGCTTGGCTCTACAAAAATGGATTTAAGTCCTCTTGTCCTTCTTTGCAGCCACGCTGTTCTGTTGGTGCCATGACTCCTGGGAGTGTGGGACCAGCCAAGAAAGACACCACCAGTAAGGAGGAGTATTTCTGTGTTCTGGCATTCAGTCTCACCTCAGCAGACTCTAACAGCCCTAGTAAGATACCCCTGCAATAAAAGAGGGGCCACTGAGGTTTGAGATGGGCACAGCGTGACATTTCTTACAATTACACTGTGAAATGATCCCTTTCCTGAAAGCTTAACTCTAAAACATGCAAAGAGGAGCAGGAAGGGTGGTGGCTCCAGTGGAGATGGTGACAGTCCAGAGCACAGCCTGCTCAGGGCTGCAGGGATCATAACTGAGCAGCAGAAGCTCCAGATAAACACTCAGGAAAGACAGGAAGGCAGTTTTGGTAGAGACCTGGCAAAGTTAGTGTTAAGTTTTTTTGGACTGAGGCTGTCACATTATTGAGCAGTTTCATTAACAGCCCTAAGAAAGGCCAACAAGGGCCGGGGGGAGTTTTGCAGGAAGGGAACTGTGGCAAATGTAACAGATTATTTTTGCTTTTATTGCTATCCAACAATAACCAGAGATTCTACTCTAAAAGCTTCAAGTTTCACATTTACCAGCTTACTAAAAGAATATTTTTCATGCAGGACAGACATAAACCATACTATTCATGTGTCTTCAGCACCTTGTCTGGACTGTGCCCAATAATTAATGACAAGAACTGGATTTCTCTGTGAGGAGGTGATCCTCATGTGAATGACTGCTCACTGAAAATCTCATGTCAGGGGGCTTGTGGGAGATTAGTGTTTCATCCCTCTACACTTTACTGATTTTGAAGTGCTAGATATTATATGCCAGAAAGGAGGATTTCCAGGAAATAAAGGTTGGGTAAAGAAGATTTAAGTGAAAGGAAAACATCCTCCCTCTGCAAATCCTCATTCATAAGAGAGTAAGGTGAAGAAGACTGTAATCATTACCTAGAATGCTTTTAATGCAAAGATTTTTCTAAAGCCTAGAAATACTTTTCTAGGCTTTAGAAATAGCTTTTTTTTTTCATTTTTTTTTTATTCTTGAAAACTATTCTAAGCTTTCAGCAAGCCTTGAGGAACAGAGACATTTCAAAATGTGTCAGTGAGATTTTTCTCCTCACTTACAGGTACTTCTCAAGCAAAATCTGAAAACAAGAAAACCATTTGGAATACAGAGGAGGTCCCAGAAGGATCTGAATTTGATGATACATGGGACCCTAGAGAAAAGCCAGAGTAAGAAAGCTGAGGCTGCCTGTGTGGGCTTTACATGGCATTAATGGAAATTAGAGTTAAACAGCATCTGCAGTCAGCTGAAAAGATTGTGTTATGCAAGAAGAAAGGAAAGTTATCAATGTTGCATCTAAAGCAATATGTGAGGAATGGTTTTAACCCCTCTCGAAATCTTCTGATCTCAGAACAGAAACTTAGTGTTGGTTTTTCCAACATAAGTTTATGTGCAGTGTCAGTTACTTGTATAAAGTGGGATTAGGAGGGGAAGTAGGTCAGAAAAACGATTTATTAACTTTAAAATATGCCATTTATGTGAAATACCTGCTTTTTTCCTGCTGCAACTGAGATGCATCCATTTTTCCATACTCATAAATTCATAAAGTACTCCAATGTATATTTGCATTTCAAAGATTTAAGCTCTTTAGAGACAAATAGTACTGCCGAAGAAAAGCTGTGTGCAGGCAATTTTGAGCTCTTAAATCTTGTCATTCAATCTTGGTCTGTCAAAGCACAACTTAAAACCAGAGCCTTTTCCCTTGCTCATAGAAAAAGAGTAGCAAAAATATTCTTGAAATTAGGCATGTGAGTTGGAGTTTGTAGAGGTCAGAAAGCCCTGAGGGTCAGTCCATAAAGCAGCTTTTGCATTTCCAGTCGTTGCTTCAATGCCATGTCCTGGAGTGTTAAATGCTGGAGCACATGAAGCTGCACATTTTCCTGCATGTAATTCCCAGAATCTCCACTTTTTCCTGCATATAAGTGAGGACATGAGGAGTCCAATTTCCCAGTTAAACACAGGACCTGAGACCCACCTAAAACAGGCACTCAGCCTTTCTGAAAATGAGATTAAACACAGGACCTGAGACCCACCTGAGCAGGCACTCAGCCTTTCTGAAAATGATTTGGAATTCATCCTCATGCACAGCTGTCCTTGAGATGGTCCCTGTCAGGTACAGAACACGCTGTCTCTGTATTGTGGGCACAAAGAAGCTTTTCTCGTGCTGTTCTTTGACCCTTCCCCTC